TGCACTCCACCCATTCGGAAGGCACCATGCGCGCACTCCACGCTTGGTACGAGCTTCTACTCCCTCCATATCACCAGCCTGCAGGAGTGCATCCTGGGTAGGGCCATGGAAGACCCATCGCAGGCCGCCAGTCTGTGCATCATAGACTTGTACATCACAAGTCGCTCCAGGTCGTACTTGTGTACACACGGGCATCACAACGGACAGCCCTGGGAGATTCTTGACATGTCCAACTGCTGGTGCATTGTTTGGAGGCCGCGGAGTTGTGATTGTCCAAACCAGCTTTCCATCAGTGAGGTTGTATGCGCTGAGCTTCCCAGGGCTGTTCTCAGAGATACCGAACATTGGCGCTTTGCGGTTGAGATTTACAGCATACACTAGGCCGTTGGGACCGACGGCCGCGCCGCCATCGGTCCAGGTCCCATTTAGTCCGCCCGCTTTCCACTTCAGTATCCCCGTGCTCAAGGTCATGCGATAAACCTTACCCGTCATGTCCTGAAACACAAAGGAGTCATCTTCCACGAACAGCGGCAAGAAATTCCACACGGGTGTGTCTGGCTCAAACGTCCACAATTCAGCACCGGTGCTTGCATTCAGAGCCTTAATCTTGTGGTTTGCAGCCCCGAATGAAGATGGAGGATGGTGCTCACATGCGGCAAGCGCAATGTCTTCACGGACCATGTTGAAGCCATTGTCCTGGCCAATTGTTTCGGCCACACGAGTTTTCCACACTTGCTTGCCTGTCTTCATTTCAAGGGCAAAGACATAGCCGTAAGTGTCACTACCGTACACCAGCCCATTGTACAGGGATGGAGCATTCATCACCTCTGCTGGGAGCGATTCGTACTCCCAAAGCATTGCGCCATTCTGATCAAACTTCCTGACACCGTCTGCACCTGACAGGTAAATGTTGCTGTCCCCATCGATCGCTGTCCCGTAGGTCAGAGTAGCAAATCTTCCAAGTGGGTGGTGCCACTGCCAGGCAAGTGATTCACTGAGGTTGAAGGGTGCAGGATGTATGGACACTGCATATTCGGGAAAGTTCCCACGGCCTGAGGCCCAATGATACTCAGTTTCTTTCGTGATGTGGTTTCTGGTAATCAGGTGGTGAGCTTGTAATACAGAGAACCCTGCACGCTCAGCTTCTTGACAATCCTCTGCTCCAGGTGCACAAACGATGCTGCTCTCCACGACAGTTGCGGTGATGATGAGGCCTGTGACAACAAACTGCATCGTAACACGGATAGCCGAAAGCTGATAGATTTGCAGCCCATGGCTGCAGCAGGGAACACATGTGCAATCAACCCTGGCCAACTCACGACCGCAACACTATGTAGAAATATCACAAAACACTGGTGTTATTCAGAAAAGTCATGATAGGTTATCGGAGGATATCACCTAGTTGTGGCTGACGTTTCCCTACCTGGCGGCAAGACAGTACTTCAACATCGATAATCCTGGAAGTCCCTGTTGCTCTGTACATCTTCTGGGGCAAAGTCAGGTCCACGCTGGATTGCTGATAAGGAACATAAAATCAGTCACCATAACATGGGTATACAGTATGTCGTAAATGATTGGGTGTCCCTATTACAGTAACTCACGTTAAGTTCCTTACCGGCAACTCAGCCTAAATCCCAAAACTGTAACCTCAAGCCCTACTTGCAGGGTCATGGGAACTTAGCAAAGTGGTTAATGCTTTTAGGGGATTGTCAGTGTACTTCCTAAGTCCCCCCGACCGGCCAAATTCACCCACCACCCTGCACCCACACTCATCTTTTACAGCATCGAAGGCCTCGCCGGCAGACCACTGCTCCTTCCGACGCTCATACCAGCGTTCAAAAGCCTGGACAGCTGCAGGTTCAAGGTAGTGCTTGTGATACCATGGTGAATACGGAAAAAACCAGCGTGACCCATGATTCTCCATGTTGGCGTACTATCCCTAAACTGAAAACCTGAAACAACATGATATAGTGGTGTCATTTCACTTTCCGTTGTCTTTTCCAGTTGATTCTGCAATACTAGGAGCCAAAGATGGACATCATCGCTTTTGACGCTGACTAAATTTGGGTTTAGGGCTTAAGGTTTAGGGTTTAGGGCTTAGGGTTTAGAGGTTGGGGTTTAAGGTTTAGAGTTTAGGGTTTACGGGCATCAGGATCAATGGTGAGTCAGGTGATGAGTCCCATGCTCGGTTCGTATCTCGACTTTGACCCCTGCAGCCTAAACCTTCAATCCTGAGAGCCTGAATCCTAATTCCCCAAGGCCCTTGAAAAATTCAGAATAATACCAGATTCTCCAGTATCTGGCTAAGAGCCTGTAAGACCCTGTGCATTTCCTATATAATCTCCAGATGTAATTCATGATAATGCCCACTTCTAAACTGTTGGGGGTCTACCCCCTAAACCCTACCCTGAACTCTAAACCCTAAACCTGATGGAAGGATAGCACAGGCTTGACCATCCTACTGCTTAGTGTTTAGGCTGTGGGGTATGGGGTTCAGAGTCTAGGGTGTAGGTACTGTAGGGACCTGAAAAAGATGGATTAGAGGGTTTGAGAATCACGCCAGAAAGCAAATGGAGAATACGCTGTAAACTGGGGCCATCTAGGAATCATGGTATAGGGCGCCTCAAGTGGACCTCAAGAAGATATCGTTAATCATTCTGGCCGCGTCGGATCATCTCATCTTCAAACCCACAGAGTTGCGCTGCTAGGGCCAAAACTTACACTCCCTTGAAGCTTAGGGGGTTTTAGGGCTTA